TTCTGGATTTAACAGGAAGCCAAAACAGGAGAAATCTGCTCTCTCTTTCTAGTCCCTGTCAGGACTCTTGCTGCAGCATTTTGGATCAGCTGCAGCAGCACGGGGGTCTGAGCCCGTGGACAGCGAGCAGCCACACGACTTCATGTTTGCGGGCTTGGAGAAAACTGTTATATTCAATATTCAGTATTACTCGCCCTCTCTGTCCTATAACAACACTGACCCAGAGCTCTTACTGCAGGGAGCAGGACTAACCTTACGCTTTGGCAAAGAGCCGGTGTTGTTAGAGTCTCTGACCTGTTTGAGAATTTGAGATTTAAAGCATCTGATTCACTGGAAGCTCAGTGCGACATATCAAATAAAGCCTTCAGCGGATATTTACAGATCAGTGAGTCCCAACAGAGTCTCGTCCTCTTTATCCAAACTCTGTTCTGAAGCTTGAACCTTGAATCTTTTCACGAGTTTGCCTTCCATAGTTTCAACATGCAACAGGTATAAAGGTGTTGAGGGTCGGTCCTCGATTCTCCTGACCTCCGGCCTTTTCTGATGTATCGATCATCCGGCTCTGAATCCTGATTCAGATGGTTCACAGAAAGAAAGAAAGATGCAGAGCAGCTTTACTCAGGCTGTGAGAAAGCTCTGAGCACTGATGTCATGTTTCCTATTATCACTGTGCTGCTTAGTCAGCAATGTTCTGCTGGAAACTGGAGGCACAGCTGCGTCTCTAACAGGTGGACGTGCTGCCAGATTCAGCCTGAGAGAAGTGGAAAGCAGCGATCCGGACGGTTTGAGGTAAAACGTTCATTAAGTTCGACGACCTTCACGCAGTGCAGGCCAAAGAAATGAAAGTAAAGATCTCTGTGTAAGCTCATGGACCACCTCCTGTGGGGAACATTCCTCTCCAATCTTCACAGCATGTTATCACAGCCTATTTTAGACTGTTGGTCGGCTGCTGCTCTTCCACAGTGTGGCTGGTATTTCTCACTGTGTGAACTTTCCACACACCTTCAAACCAACACAACAGCAAGGCCTGATTTTCTCTGTTTTACCTGTTTTCATTCATCTTCAGTTTGAGTTTGTAATTTGAGCATAAATTCTGTTCGCGGCACCACGTTTTTATTTCTGTCATCAGCTCAGGAAGCCTGCAGATTGCAGCCAATCAGCTGATGGCTCAAACCTCTCACAGTATAAATTATTGAAGCTGCTTTTGCTTCCATACAGTTGCTGCATTCTGCAAGCTGCTTTGTAACCCACCTCCACCCCAGCTCCTCGTTTTCGTGGTGTTTCTGGTACCGATGGAGCTTTTTCCACTCTGAGCATTCAAAGCACTTTTTTTATTGCAAGCCTTTTTCAGCCAATCACACGCATTGACACATGGATGCATCGCGCACAGCTCGAGTTCAGCAGACTGGAGTCTGGATCGATCCACCACCTCCTGAGCCGCAGTCGCTGCACACACGATGTCATCTTTCTGTTTGTCAGCTTTATGAAATAACTAAATTGCATTTAATCTGAAGAAAGGTTTATTTTGCAGGAATTTGTCCTTTCAATCAAAAATAACAGAATTAAAGTGAGCCCCAGTTCAGGCTGTGCTGCTGCTGCCAAAAACGAGAATAAGATTCATTTTGGGATTAATAAGTTTCCATCCTGAAGTCTCAGCTGGTCGGGTTTATTTCCATCTTTTTGCTTTGAAGATGATCTTCTGCAGGTGGATGCAGGTATGAGCCCACCTCAGTTTCATGTGTCTGTTGCTGTGTCATCATTTATGACATTTACACAAACCCATAAAAACGTTGGGTCTTTGCAGGCGCCGTGTGTGTCGGGTACAGACGACCTTCGCTGACCTGCAGGTCGATGCTTTCTGCTTTGATCTGGTCTGGTTTGAGTCCCGTTTGTACGCCGTGCGTGACCGCCGCTCCCTCGTCTCTGACGTGTTGATGCTTGCATGCCCCGCGGCCTGCCCAGCAGCATTTCCTCCCTCCTTCCTGCTCGGCTCGATTGTGTGTGATGTTTTCTGTTCGCTGTTTCACTGCGTCCAGCAGCTTGCATCACGTGTTAGGATAAATGGGCTTTGCTCGGGTTTCGCGTGGCGGCAGCTGAAGCTTGTGTTTGAGGCGTGCGGTGTGTTTGTTGGACGGCGTATTCCTGCACACAGACGGTCTTTCAGTGGCGACGCTGGTCCACCTTTGGGGACGTTCCCGGTGCTTCTTCCTCTTGTTAAATGATGACACACTGAGTGTATTTGTGCGCCTCCTGGCCTCCTCTTTCTAACACGTCTCTTATTCTCTGAGTGCCCCTCTGGTTCTTCTCAGCCTCCCCAGCGTTTCATGAGCTCTGGACTGAACTGGTCCCAGAGGCGGTTCCTCTGACTGTGATTGGTGCTCGGTAACCTGCAGCTGATATTATGCACTGCCACATGATTGGCTGATTGGATGCGCAGATGTACATGTGTTCCTAATAACGTGGCTGGAGTTTGTGTGTGAAGGTTAGACTGATGGTGCATCAGTTGTAATGAGAGTGACTGTCTTCCTTCTCTCTGCAGACCCTCCTGAGATGAAGAGCTACGGCCACGCTCAGGGTTTCAGCTCCAGATCCATGATAAACACGCCGAGCCGCGTCATGGCCGTGAGTACACGCCACACACACGATGAAGAGCTTTAAACACACCGCGTGAGTCACTGTGGTGGGAGCAGCTCCACTGCAACACAGAAGGGACGTCAATAATTAGAATTTGAATGTAAATAAATATAAAAGTCGTTTTCCTCTTTGTGACATGGTGGAGGGGGGGGCTGACATTTCTGTAACATCCAGCAGGGGGCGCCTTTTAAAGACGTCCGTTTGGATAGAAGGCTATGAGGAGATGAGCCTCGTGCTCAGAGGAAAATAATAATAATAAAATGTTTTTCTTATTATTACTAAATGTGATCTTTTAGGAATCCTGAAGCAGCACAAAGCTTCGGCTGAGCTGCTTCTCCTCACTCCTGGGATTTGAAATAATTCCCAGTTACACACAAGCTGTCGTTTGGAGCGTGACGCTCCGTGTTAATGAGACGCTGCTGTCGGTCCTCGCACATTATTATTTAAAAACAGGACCACAGGTGTGCAGTGTGTATTTTAGAAAAAAAGCCGCCATCTTTTCCATCGCCGAGTAGCTTTTAGTGGCGAAACAGGAGCAGAGGGTGAAAACAAAAGACTGTAAAAGGAGGTCGGCAGCTGACCACGTCAGGCACCAAACAGCGCAAAGATGAGACTGATGATGATTTCTGTTCAAATTCAACTCGGGTGAGGAAGAGGTCCAAGCATCTTCATCAGCCCCACCCACAGCAGTGCCCCGCGGCGTCTCTCCCTCTGAACTCCAACAGAAGCAAAGAGCATTGTTCTGCAGGACGCCACCAGCGGCTCAGACGACCTTTCAAAGTTCACGGGGGCGGGACTCATGAAACCGTGAAGAGAAACGTTCTGAAGAAATGATTTTTCATCCACTCAGCTCCATAAAAAAGCAGCAGGTTACATCTGCCTGTGCCGTCTGGAAATGTGCGGCAGTGTTTGTTACTCGACCTACGTGTGCTGGGAGCACGGCGCTCACGCCGAGCAGCCATTGTGTTGGGCTGTTTCCTCTGTGTGTCTGTCAGAGTTCAGAACAATGCAAAGAAAAGCAAAACACAAACAGGACATCGACCCGCTGCTGTACCTCTGCAGCTTAACAATACAGAGGCTGCACGGCGTTTCCTGCAGATTATAACGAAGGAGAGGAAGAGCCGTAAAATGCTCCTCCCTGCGCCCGTACAGCTCCGTGTCACTCCCTCGCTCTGGCGTGCAGTGATATCTGCACAAACCTTGGTTGCTGTGAGCAGTTTTGATACGACTCTGGGGAACGAAAATAGTTGCGCCTTTAAGCTGCTCGCAGCAGAGTTTGGATTTCTGGAACGAGACATTTGTATTATTACACATTCCTTTTAGCTGCCACACATCTCCACAGCCAAACTCGCTCCGTCTCCAGGCCACCTCCTCTGCCCTGTCCTACATCTGAGTCTCCTCCCAGTCGGACGCACCTGAAAAGCATCCAGGTCCCATCCTGAAGCACATCTGAGTTCCTCCTGAACGACCGAGATCTTCACCTTATCTCTAAGGAAGAGCACCGACATCCTTCAGAGGAAGCTGCTCGCATCCTCAGTCACATTCTTTCAGTCCCACTCACAGCTCGCGGTCATAGGTGAGGGTAGGAATGTAGATCGACCAGTAAATCAGCAGCTTCGGTGTCACGCCAATCAATCACGCCTTCCTCTCACGCCTCCCCCGGGAATAAGACCCTGAGATACTTAAACTTGAGGCTCCACTGAACTCCAGAGAAGGAACTCTGCCCTGTGAGGCCTCAGACCTCACAGCTCTCAGCGAGCTGCAAGCAGCTCCATTGCCAACAGGAGGACATCGTCCACAACAAGCAGCCGTGATCGTTGCTCCTCCTCCAGACTGAAGTGGAAGGACCGGGCGGAGTCCAAAACAACCGGGAACAAATCTCACTGACCACTTTTCATTTTGGGATTTAATGAGCTGTTAACAAATTATTGATCTGACTGGGGCTCTAAGAAAGCCGTTCGACCTCTAACCTTCTTTCTCCCCACGCCTCCTGTCTCCAGGTGCCCACTGTGCCTCTTCCTGCCTCGGGCTTCTCGTCTCGCTCTGCTGTGGACACCACTTCCCGGCTGACCCACAAAGGTGCGGCTGTGGTCCACAGCAGCTCTCAGATCTCCCAGGTGTACAGCAGAAGCAGACGCTCTAAGTCGCTGACCCAGGGCGAGCACGAGGCACTTCCTGTCACTTCCTCCGGCCGTCTAGAGAACCCTTTGCTTTCTCTCCCTGCGCCTCCACCAGGTACCCTGAGGCGCAGCCTCAGTGGGATTCTGGCCCAGGAGAAAGGTTGCTGGCAGGAGGAGGAGCTTCCACAGCAGTACACCTATAAAGGCCCCGCCCACCGCACCATCAGCCGCATCACCAACAGACAGCAGCACTACCAGCAGCAGCAGAGCTCCAGCCTAGGCCAGGAGGGCTGGGTGGGGAACGGCAGGGGCGTCCCCACTGGGGGGGACACCTGGGGAACACAGTGGCACCACCAGCAGCAACAACAGCAGCAGCAGCACGTGTCCAGGACCTCCGGGACCATGCACCGCGCCGCCTCGCTCCGCAGCCTGAGGAGTGTCGGGAAAGGAGTGGACGTCTTCGATGGAGCGTCGATCCACAGCAACGACCCGCTGGGAGAGTAAGACACCTTCCTTTATTTAGCTAGTTAGCTTAGCCTTCATCAGATTCATCTTTAGCTCACTTAAACGAAACAGACGGGCAAATAACCATTAAACTACACACAGGAAGTGGCGACGCATGACCGCGGTAGGTGAACAGCATTCTGTGACACTGTGAGCGACGGGAAGTGCGCGGACGCGAGATGAACCTCTCTCACGTTTGAAGTTTGAAACGATCGAGTAAAGAATAACACGACTGACAGATGACCTGGTAGTACGTATGTTAGAGGGTTACCTAGGCAACCAGAGCCGGTGTGAGCGAATCGCTGCCAGTATGTACGCAGCTTTAGAGATGTGAAGTGGGCGGGGCCAGAATTAAGGTTAATAGAGGTGACTATGCGACTCACATGTGAGGGGCAGTAATTAAAGGGTTACCTAGGCAACCAGAGGCCCAGCCCTACTACTACTCGTGACCAACCGTAAGCCTCAGAGGACACGTGACGATCACTTCATATGTGATCAGGGCAATACACCGTCGTCATAGGAACAACCAAATCATGTGCAAGGTGAATTTTGATTGGCTGGGCTTAGCTAGCTGCCGCTACACCGAGGGGTATAACATGAGGAGCATACTGCTTTCTGACTCGCTGCAGCAAAGTGTTAAAGTGGGCGGGATCATTGAGCTTCATTACAGGTGACCCGGGGCGTGGGAGGAGTTTAATATCTGAAGATCTTTCAGCGACCTTTTTGTCCAGAGCCCAAAGACCGCGACAGTAAAGAATCTTTATTTGATCTTATAAAAAACAAATCTGTAAAAATTCTGATAAAGCAGAAAAAAGAATGAAGAGAGCAGCATTAGATCGTTGCAGGCTGAGCTGCACTGCTGGTAGGAACCCTTTTAATGCAACTGTGTGTGTGTGTGTGTGTGTGTGTGTGTGTGTGTGTGTGTGTGCAGGATGCAAAATCTGGACATGCCCACGGCTGTCAAGTATCTGTCCGAGTCAGACGCTCACTTGCAGGTTGTTGGAGCTGCGTTCGTTCAGCATCAGTGCTTCCACAGCAGGGACGCCAAACACCAGGTACGACCTCAGGAGGGACACATGGAAACAGTTAGCGTGGAGCCGGCGGTCACGGGGG